CGGCGAAGGGCCAGCGGCGTTTCCTCCTGGTGCTCCCTGCCCTTCCTGATGCCTTGCCACTCCCTGTGCCATGGTCCGGGACACGGCTGCCCATGTCAGTGCTGTGTGTCATCCCATGGTGGCTACCCCTGATGCCAACTGCTCCTTCTCCCCATGGAGCAGCAGCCTGGGCTTGCACAGTGGTGACGTGCTGGCTCCAGGGGGGCTGAGCCCAGAGTCCATTGTCACCTCATGTCCACTTGTGGGTCGGAAGCAAACCTGTGAGTCTGGCCCCTTCCCCAAGCCCATGGGCATGCAAAACCGTGGCCTCAGCAGGGGCTGGGGACAGCCACCTTGGTTGTGGGTGCTGGCCAAAGCAGGGTCAGCTTGGGGAGCAGTAGGGGATCCCCAGGGCTGCACCGAAACACATCAGAGTGTTGTCCATGCGTTGGGAAGAGGTTCTTGTCCTCCAGGATGGTTTTGAGAGGTTTGTGCTACGCCCACCCCACCGTGGTGACCCTGCCTGCAGCGTGGGCTGTGTCCCTGTGTGCTTTGCATCCCTCGGAGGGGCTGGGAAGCATGCTCTGTCCCATCTGTGCAAGGCAGAGGGAACATGTCCCTGGTACCACATCCCTTCCCTTCCTCCTGGCCATCGCAGAGAGCTCTGCTCGCCTCCTGCCTCCGCGCTGCTCCACAGCCATGGGCAGAGCAGACCCCGCGCAGCCCAGCCGCTGAGTGTCAGTCCTGCCTCGGAGTGCCCGTGGTGTCTGTACTGTGCCGTCGGTGTTAACACGAAACAAAGAAATCCCTGTGGTGTGTAGAAATGCCAAAACCCCAACCGTTGTAAAATAAACTGAGCTATTGTGTTTCCTTTTAAATAGGCGAGTGTGCTGCTGTGGTGAAGGGCTGGTGTGTTCTGTGCTGTGACCCAAGGAGGGAAAGGAATAAAATATCGTTTTTATTGGTGCCTGCTTGCGTCGTCTCGGGGGCTGTGGCATTTCCAGGGCTCCAGGGAAAGGCTGCAGGGAGCAGGACAGGGGCTGAGGGTCCAGCTCTGCCGGGAAGGCGGGCTGGGAGCCCCTAGCCAGGCTGGGACAGAGGGGAGCAGTGTCCACACACCCCCGGCAGCACAGAGGGGCTTTGTGCCGTGGCGGCGGGCTGGCTGAGCCCTCCCTGCCCGCTCTTTTCTGCAGCCAGCAGCAGATTCAACAATAGCCAGAGACTGTGTGAAGGGAGCACATGAGTGGCCAGCCCGCCTGCACAGCCCTGAGGGATGCGGGCACAGAGCCCCCTTGTCACTCGGCCTTTCGGGAGCTTCTGCATGGTGGCCGCTGGTGTGTGGATCGAGGGGGATGACGAGCACCACCTCGGCTCTGTGACAGCACCACCCCACTTGTCCCATCCCAGGGCTTGGCTTCACCCTA